AATGCCACCTCGCACAGCCCTGTCAGATATTTAGGGCACATAGTCAGCACAACGGGGGAAGCTACTGATCACGAAAAGATACAGTGTGTTAGGGAATGGCCCACCCCCGTGTCCGTGCTGAATGTTATAAGATTTATAGGCTTTTTTCCTATTACCGCAGCCATTGCAAAACAGCTACATGTGCTTACAGCTAAGGGGCAGAAATTCCAATGGGGTACGGAAGAGAACAGGGCTTTAAAAAATGTGCGGACACTCCTTATGGAGGGGCTACCATTTGGATACTCAGATTTTTCATTGCCCTTCAGGCTGGACACGGATGCGAGCGATGTGGGGATTGGGGCCATCCTATTTCAGGTGCAGTCGGGCATAGAGGTTGGTGATAGCATATGGCAGCCGGGTATTGTCACCGGATGAACACCGCTACTGCATAACGTGGAGAGAACTCCTGGCCGTGTAATTGTGCCCATACCTATACAAACAAAAATTTGAGGTGCGGACTGACCACGCAGCATTGCAATACTCGTTACGTATCGACCAACCCTCTGGTAAAATGGCCAGATGGATTGAGAGGCTGCAAGAATTCTCCTTTGAGGTGGTCCATAGAAAGGCGTTGCGCCACATGAATGTGGATGCTTTATCTCGTGTACCCGAGGCAGGTACTTGTGCATATGTTAAGGGCTTGCCCAGGTGTAAACCACTCTCACCTGACACGGCATGCCTCGCGGCGCCTGTGCACATGCAGGAAGGCAAAATGGAGTCTCCCCTGGCCGATCGTGATTTGGATTGATGGCCAATTTGTGTCCCGTGTCTCTTCAAGTTGGCCCACTCTTCCACACTTCCAGAAAGGAGAAATTATTCAGACAGGTGGCTTTTTGAGGTGCGTGCCACCCATTAGTAATTATTTATTTCTTATTTATGTTTCTTCCACACAGCTGTTGACACAACAACGTTTTCACCTACTTCAAAAACTACTCCTCCAAAACCTCCTGGTAAGATTTGTCATTTATATTTTCGGACTGTCCACATCCAATCATATATGATGACACAAATTTGATGAAGATATGGGTTATCATTGATCGTATGGCAACTTAGGAGAGGTAATGGTGTGATAGTTTGAAAATGTAGTTCTCTCGCATAGATTCAGTGTGCACATTTACAGCCTTTTTGTCAATCCACTGCTGGATGAGAAAATGGAGCACGTGTATTAGAGAACATATACAGATCAGAGACATCATACCACGCTCATTAGAGTAAACAGGCATGGGCAGGACACATCACGAAAAGGATTGATGACCGATAGTCAAGATTAATGATGGAGTGGTGGCCAAGGGAGGGAATGCGCCTGAGACGATGTCCACGGTGAAGAATGAGAGATTTCTGCGTTGCGGGAATGAGAGACGGTGATGCCTTGTGCCCTTTATCTACCAATATATGTATCATGGCTCATAATGATGATGGTAATACTAATAAATAATTTAAACTTGTAACGCGGTACACATATTCACTCGCTCTCGAAGAAAGAAAGAAAGAAAGACTCAGAGGTGCGAAGAACCACAGCCAAGCGGAAAGGCAGCAGCGAGCTGGTGCCAACCATTGTCCAAGCTCTGCGGTCCTCTATATATTAAGGCAGTGTCGGCCAATTAATGAGTGTTTACGTGTAGCATGAAACCAGAGCACCCAGAAAAAAAATATATGCGTGTGAAGGGGAAACACTGTATCCCATAAAGACTGGACAGGTGATAAAATAATAAATAATGGTTACTGCAACATATGCTTGTAATGGATCTTACATTGCAGATGGGGAGTGGACACAGTGGTTTAACTGTGATTGGCCATCTGGGGTTGGTGACTTTGAAGACATTGCATCGATCCAAAGAACGTATCTGGGTCAACCCTGCTCTAATCGCATAAAAATACAGGTGTGTGCAAAGTATATACAAAACTCTGTCATGATCATATTTTTCAAGAAAACACATTTATGCAACTAATTGATACATTATCTCCTCATGTATACTCTGCAAACAAATAGGGCATCACATGGGAAGGTATTCCTGCTGAGGAAACAGGACAAGTATTTGCATATTATGACGTAGACAATGGATTGCAGTGTGTCAATGCACATCAAGTGGATGGTCAATGTCTCAACTACAAAGTTCGCTTTCTATGTGGGAAAAACAGTAAGTTTTGATACATTTCTTCTTTTCATTCTACGCATCACCAGGCCATAAGATTCACATTAAGAAGGTGGCAGGTCGACCATACTTGTAACTTTTTGAGACTGGCCCCTTCCATTGGAATGTGGAATTGTTAATGCTGTAAAAAAATATCACTACCTCAGTGCTCACTTGATCATTGGTATGATATTTGACTAATACTTACGTCGCATGTTTTGTTTTATTAACTATTGTTACGTGGGATTATGTTATGAAACAGCAGTCAACTCCAGTTTTCACTGCAACATTCACTGCTACCTCACAATAACCCAACATCTTTAGTGTCCAATATGTGCTAAGTTTTCAAATTATCAATTTAGGTGTTTATTTATGTCCATATGCTGAAAATGTATTACATGTTACAATAAGGGTACTTGTAAAGACTTGTGCATTCTAATAATTGATACAGCCCCATCTTCATATCCATCTCACTCCGAAATTAATCATATATCCGTAAAATAAAGCCAGCATGCATCTCTCCGTCCTTTGCACACTTTTCAGCTTTTGTTATGTTTGTTTGTAAATGGGTCCATGTTTCCAATACATGTCAAGATAGGCAATACTGACAACATAACATTTCAAAAACCTCTCCATGCTGCTCTCGCTCTTTGGCTTCTAAGCACTCTCTTCATATCATTTTGAAACATGATCCACCTTCAGCAGCTGCCATAAATATACTTTATTTTCTTGTTTTCTAGTTTTACCTCTCCAACAATAATTGGAAGCAAAATTGTTGTATAATCTTTATTTTGTTAATATTCAACTTTGGCCCATTTTGCAACTTTATTTGTTAATTTAAAGAATAACTTCACGCAGTCCATTACCATTGTTGTGACTTTTCGGCAAATCTGAGATGGTTTGTAATGTATGATGTTTATGCCCTATCTTTTCTAATCAAATGTTGGAAAAATCATCTTCTGGCTTAGCTAAAGGTAACTTTATTTTGATATCAGTGGAAATTTGTTGTGGCTTGATGTCTTTTTTTCTTCTTTTACCACAGATATAACAACAACAACGACAGCAACAGTAGCTCTGCCACGTCCTGGTAATTCGAGACTACATATCATTTTCTTTGGTTTTATTCGGTAAAGTCACGTAGGTAAATTTGTTTTACCTACGTGACTTTACCGAATAAAACCAAAGAGTATCAATCTTTGCAGTCACGAAAGATTCAAATCTAGAAAAACACATATCATTTCCTCTTGACTAAAATGTGCATTGCTAAAACTATGCATGTGCTTCCATAGAAACCCTCATTGGTAATGTAAAATGCACAGACAAACACGGAGAGCTGCATAGTTAGGATACCTCTGAGATACAAAAAGGCATAAAGTGGATCAGGGAATAAACAAATTGGATCAAATTCATAATTAAGAAAAGTAAATGGGTTAGGGCAAGACACATCCCTGCATGGCTGGTGGGCGAGCCAATGAGAGAAGTTGTGCAAGCAGAAGATCGTAGCAGAGATGGAGCGATGAGCTCATGGTGCATTCGTGAGATGGATGGTGGCGGCACTGGGGGGAGGCCTTCATCCAGTAGTGGATAGACAATGGCTGATGATTGTCAATAAATGTAATATCTTGAGATAAATATAAAATATTGATGTTTTTACATTTCCCATTTTAAAACAATTATAAATACGCATTCGTAGTTAATATGTAAAATCAGTTTTCTTTATGAATTAAAAACATTTTTAATTATTTGAGTGGATATTTAAATTTCATATTCATACCTTTTAAGTCATACCTTCTGCTATGGAAACTGCATACAGACCTCATATTTAATTTAAAACACACAAATAGCAGTGTGCTACTATGTGATCGATATCACAGGAAAGATGTGATTTTCAAACTTCTCTTTGAGTTGCAAGTTATAGTGGTACAGTTTGAATTGTCTTACCTTTCTCAGCGTTTGTATTTATCATCCTTGAATGTTGTGTCCTGCGGCTGCATTCAAACCAAATGGCGGTTGCAGCCTCGTTAAATCAGTGATGGAGGTGGAAAATGAAAATCAACCTCCTGACAGCACGGATAAGGGTGCAATGATTCAACCCCTGCGATTCTATGACTTGCCCAGATTCATGGTCGCAATTCCACTTGTTTATAGATACGTTTTATTTAACACTGTAGTGAATGCTATTGCCTACCACTCGTTACTGTAGGGGTGATGCGAACCCATTACACAAATATAAAAACATACATTTTTACAAACACGATTCAATGTGTATATTGCGAGCATAAGGATCACATTGATCGATGTTTCGAACCACCCTTTCGGGATAATTAAAATGGCTGCACGGGTAAATTGGTCATCACTTTGGAGAGAATGGGAGAATGGTCACCGGGAAGTGAACAGAATATTCTAAAATCTCTTTCAGTCACTACAAGATGCGTGATACTGGGAGACCCACATTACACGACGTTTGATGGACTTTATTACGACTTCATGGGCGCATGCATCTACACAACAGCCAAGCTGTGCAACATCTCCTCCTCCCTGCCCCACTTCAACGTGGAGACGAAAAACGAACGCCGTGGCTATCCAAGCGTATCTTATGTCCGAGATGTTCACGTGGACGTGTACGGACACAGGGTCACCATGTCCTTACAGCACGCCCTCCTGGTTAGTATTACACCTCGTATTAGCGCCGAGATTATAGTAACAAATGAGTTAAATGTAAAATACAATTATGCATACACATTGTGTCGACTCAAGCAGAGGCGATGGAACAAACTAATTTTGGGGAGGACAGACGAGACGAGCAGAAGTGGGTGGGGCAGGCCTGGATTTAGCTTGAGCCTGGTTAGCATTTTGATGGGTGACCCATAGGGATGGCCAGGTGCTGTAGGCATGGCACTGTCAGGTGGCCAGTAGATGGCAGTTCCGTTCCTCAACACAGGATCCTCCGAAAAAAAAAAGATTCATCAAGGTTTTGTTTTTGGTAAATAATTTCCGTTAATATATTTATAATTATTAATAGATGGGTGATTGTCATGACACTGAGAGAGACAATGAGACAAACATGAAGTCTTACATATGCTGTGCTCCCCTCATTTGAATTCAGCCTCAAACGTAATGTGAGGCTTTGTGTTAATCGAATGTGGCTTGATGTGATTTGGCTTCAATTATACGCTAATTTTAAATAAGAGAATGGGGTACAATATTTAGGTCTCGAAAGCCCAATTCTTGAGCAGAAGTAATGAAAGTATTTTTTACCAGAAATAATCAAACGTATATTAAATCAAAGACCACTGGGATATGCAAGCATTATTTTAAAGGGGAATCATGATTTGCTTAATGCTTGAATCACTCATGTGCTATGATCTACAGTTGGATGGGGAGCGGGTGACGCCCCCACTGGTGTTACCGGGGATGCACGTGTCTCTGAGCGGCTCATACCTTGTGCTCATGACCAACTTCAGCCTCAAGGTTCGATTCGATGGGCACCATCAAGTGGAGGTGTCTGTACCAATGGAGTACGCTGGGCAGCTCTGTGGACTCTGCGGTGAGACCCTGCCTGAAGATGTCGTTATCATTTTGTTACATGAAAAATTTGAAGTACTTTGTGCAACCGGTGTGATGAATCCAAGCTGTTCCCAGTACAGCTTCCAGCATTGGCATGAGCAAGAAATTACAGGGCTGTACCTTTATCATTTACCAATTTTTTCGGTGGATCATGTGAATTAAGTCTTCTTTTCAACAGGAAATTTTAATGGTGATGCTGGGGATGACTACCTAATGCCGGATGGGATGGTAGCTGCTTCCTCAACTGAGCTGGGAAGTAGCTGGATATCAGACAATAGCTCTGCTGAGTAAGTGATCACTTGCCCATTATTCATACAAGCATTCCCATCACACGCAGCATTCCAATCACACGGCATTTCAATCACACAGCATTCCAATCACTCACAACATTCTGATAACTCACAGTATTCCAATCACACACAAGCATTCCAATCACACCAACAGCAACAACAGCGGCAGCAGTAGCTACAACAACGGCAACAACAGTAGCAACAGTCGCAACAATAGCAGCAAAAACAAGACTAGCAGCAACAACAGCAGCAACAACATTGTGGGGGCTAGTGCCCCCCTCCCCACTCCCCATTACGTGGGGGCTGATCTCCCTCTCACTCACCACGAGCTGGGGGGGGCACGTCTAATTGGTGGGGGCTTATGCCCCCCTCCACACGCGGGGGGTGCGATGTTTGCCTCCCCCACCCCAGTCCCCTCCGCGTTTGTGTCTTTCGGGGTCCCCCGCGCCCCCACTCGCGTGTCCTAACCCCGTGGATCACGTAATGGTTTGACTCGCTGCTGTGTGGGGTTTAATTAACGATTTCCACTAAGCCGTTGTGTCAACAAGCCAACGGCGCTCGGAATCAATTAATTAATCTCTGCGCGCTACGCTGGCGGCGCAGTCAAGCGTCCCTATATTTAATTATGTATTTGTATGTGCGGGCGCGTCACACCCACACTGATTTATAGTCACCCACACACCGTCGTACGCCCGTCGCTGCCCCACCGTTCTTCACACGCACACATGACCACGCGTCACAACGTCAGTCTGTGCTCAGATTTATTTCCCGGAGCGAATAGGGACCCCCGTGTATGGCCCCCTCCAGCCAGCACCCTTCCTCCTATCACCTGCCCGTCGCAGAGTGCGTCTCTCCCCGAAGCTCGAGCTGACTGAATTGACCTCCCTTTTCCATACCCACTCACCTCTTCAGCTGCCTGATGGGGCTGGGGAAGATGTTCGCCCTGGGGACTTTTTCTTGCCGATCGTTTTCAGCTCCACCCTGCATGCGTCGCCCGGACGCTGAGGACGGCTGGTCTCTCCCGCCACTCTAGAAGGACTCTGATCCAATTTTTCCTCCTCCCCCCCCTTATGTTCCCAAAACCCCTTAACCCCCGGGTCATATGACGTCATCCTGCTTATCCAATCAAATCTTCTTTCCGGCCGTTTTGAGCGCTCTGGCCGTTGGGGGGGGGGGGGGGGTCACGTCACCCCCCCCTCCCTTCCCATTGTCTCTGTACCCGCGTCCCTCGCTGTTGACTCATCGATAATCCCCTCGCTCCCTCCAACTTAAGTCAACTCTTATCTGCCTAGGGGTTTTTCCCTCCCACCCCACTGTTTACCCTGCCGTTGGGTACTGGCTGAAGGTCCCATCCCCCCCGTGTTGTGTATGCTTCATCGCGGCCGGCCTGTAAAGCTCTATGCCCCCTTTTTGGGGGGGCCGCCATGTAATCCGGTCTGGGGGGCTCAGCCAATTTCCTGGTCCGGGGAAACCGTGGAACGTCCCTGCTAGTGGGATCATCGGGTGAAAACCCATCGTACCAGGTGATCCCTCCTCGAGACCCTACGGGGGTGCATGCGAGTGTTTAGTGGGGCGTGCGTGCGTTCATGGGGGGGGGGGGGGTGCGAGAAGCGGGTAGCGCCGGCCGAGCTGCTCCGCTGTGGTGGCACCACAACATCAGCAACAACAACAGCAACAACAAGAACAGCAGCAACAACAGTAACAAAACAATAAAAACAGCAGCAACAACAACAGTAACAACACCTTGCGATGGCGATGCTGAGACTGCTTCTGCTGCTGCCCGGCTGTCTGCGGCTGGGCCCTGCTCTCGCGAGACTCCGGCGAAGTGAGCTGAGCGGTCTGGTAAAGCGATGCCTCCCCTCCTTCCTGGAGAATGGGGAGCATACCGGGAACTTCTCTTGGCTTGGATCGACAAACCAACTCCATCTCACCCAAACGTTGCCCATACTGCGATGTAACTCGCCAGCATCCAACGTGCAGAAGGCAGTGCTGATTGGTTTAATTTTCCGCTTCAAGTGACTCGAATTCTGCACCCACTGTGCTACGATCATTTTTGGAAATGCTGACCATTACCCGACTGTGTTCGTCACTTGTTGCAATGCCTCACACATGGCTGTGCTGCAGATCTGGTCAGTTTTTCTTTCTGCCCTACATCCACACGATCATGTAAAAGAGCGGCTTCATCACCATAATGCTGCTGATGATGGGTATCGAGCCAAACCCCGGACCAGGGCTCCTCAATTTTGGATTTGTCATTGCACACTCCAAAGTCAACAAGACTGTGCTGAGCCACGATCTGATCAACGATTGTAGACTCGACAGTATTGGCCTTTTGCGAAACCTGGGTATATGACGACTCACCAGACGTGATTAAGCGTGAGGCTGCACCTAACGGATATGTTATTGTACATCAGCATTGTCACGGGAAGCCTGGCACCGGAAACCCGCATGGTGGTGGAATCGCACTGATTCACCATGAAGACATCTGCGTGAAAGTTCTGAGCAACTAATGAACAACCACATTATTCCAGCTGCTGCTTGTGAAAATAAAAAACAGCATACCAGGGCTTAAGTTCGCTGTCATCTACCGACCGCCATTTTCACTGCTGTGGGAATTCTTTCCCGAGCTTTCTGGTCTGCTGGACTGTGGGTCACTTGGCTCTCGCTACGAGAGACCGACCGAAACTGAATTTCTGGTTTTAGCTGATACCGAAAGTAAAAAATTGACTTTCGGCTGAAACCGAAGCCGAAACCGAGAGTTTAACTACACTTTCGGCCGAAACCGAAGCCAAAACCGAAATTTTAACTACACTTTTGGCCGAAACCGAAACCGAAACAAAGTTTAACTACACTTTCGACCGAGACCGAAACAGAAAGGTATATAACCGAAGTTACCGAACACAAGATTTATGAAATATGTCATGATGCATTGCTACTTTAATTAAAAATAAATCTAGAACTAATCATTCAGAGCCTGCAGTAAGAGTTGCTAAATATCAAATCTTCAGGTGTTACTTACTTAGTAATTATATCCAAACAAACGAATATTGTTTCCGCATTCAGCCAGACAGGCTACCGTCTGTTGAACGGTCGTATATACATTAGCAGACTATGGTTGCAGGTGTAACCTTGCTCCCAAGCTGCTGCTGCTGACGTGTGTGTGTGTTTGCAGCATAACGCACAGGATTGCCTAGCGCCAACTGACCGGCCGATAGGCAGAGAGATAGACATAGCACTAGCGTTATATTATAAAAATAGATCTTTGGTTGACGAATGATGACCAAAAGTCAATATCAGTTTTGGCTGAAACCGAAACCAGACCGAAAGTTACAAATTTACTTGCGGCTGAAACCGAAAGTATGCCGAAAGAGGCCATTTGCCAATTTTCGGCGCCGAAACCGAATTTCGGTCGGCCTCTACTCGCTACATCATCTGTGGTGAGCTGAACTGTCCTGGACCGACTGGTTATTGTGGTAAAATAAACAGCTAGTGATCTTGCTAAGAGTCACAGTTTAACCCAGCACGATAGCAGCAAAACATGACTGGGAAAATATACCAGATAACATCTTCACATCTGCCAATGCTGTAACTGTGACCAAAATTGTTATTTAAGACATGGGTATTTCAGATCACAGTCTCGTGACGTGCAAAGTGGCATTACCGATGATTCACCTGCCCATCACAAAGCTATCATACGAAAACGACTGGATCACGATGCTTCCCATCAGAAGATCTGGTCATGCCTAAATCCTGCATCGATGGTCGATTAATTTGCAGCTCAATTAAAAAAGGTCATCACTGCTGTTCTTGATAAACTCTTGCCCATCTGAACAAGCACAAAGAGAATGAGGAAAGCGCAGAGTAACTGGCTGTCACCAGAGGCGATCACTGCAAAGCAGACATGAAGTGAGCTGGAGCATCTTTGTAAGACAATTGGTTTTGAAACTGTCTGACTCACTTACAGAGAAGCCTGCAGATCTGACAACCGACTTATTATTGAGTCTCGCAGATTGTTCTATGCTCTGTCAGTCAATGAGTTGGCTCTTGATCCCCGTGCTCTGTGACGCATCGTGAAGGGTCCTGCTGTACTTCAACCACCCATAAACTAGTCAACCCAGTCTGTGCACAGTACTTGCGACGTTCTTTAGCAATAAAATAGTGACGATCAAGATGGCAGTTTATAACTTGAAGACAACGCATTCTCCCGGTCTGCCATCTGAGTTTCATCAACCTGGAACCAATACAGAAATCGAGACCCTGGCACCAACGTGGATGGCAGAGGTGTTAATGTTCGACATACGGCTGCCAAATGATATTTTGCCGCTCAACTACATCCACACGTTGATTCTCAAATCATGCTTGGACGTGCCTGCGACACTGATTGTCCAACTGGCAAATCTTTCTTTGAGCGGGGGCTGTTTCCCAGACTTGTTCAAAATGGCACAGGTAACACCGCTCCTGAAAAGAAGTTGTCTAGAGCCATAGTGACTCCGCAAAATATCGCCCGATCTCAAACCTGAGTAAAATTTTTAATGTCATAGAGCGTCTTTGTCTGAAGAGGTGACTTTTTTCCGTCGCTGCGAGGGGCAGATTCAACCCATTGCAGTAGGCATACCAGAAGTTCCACAGCACTGATACAGCTTTACTAAAGATCACTGATAACCTCTACAAGATCATTGATGACCGGTGT